TCATTCTAGCATCTACCACCTAAACAACTGTCTACCTATCAAACTGTCTACCCTAGAGCCTTGGGTAAGAGGAAGTAGGGAACCAGAGATCTTACACAATACTGTTGTTTAAGTATCTACTCTAATGTAAAAAATAAATGTAAATAAACTAGTTATATATAAAACAGTTCCTGGGGCTAGCAAGAAGACTCAGTAGTAAAGGATCTTTCTGCAGAAATTGTCAACCTGATCCCTGGGATCCACATGGTAGGAGGAGAGAATCAACTCCTCAGGTTGTTCTCTGACCTCCAACCATAACTGTGGCATGGCCCATCCCACCCTTAATAAATGTAATATTAAAAAAAAAACTTGAAATAAAGTAGTGTTGCTTCTTAAATTGTTCCATGTTAGGCAGGTGTAAGGGTGTGTATGTTTCTATAACATTCTTAGATCCCAATGATGAAAGGTTTTGGCTTAGAGGCCAGTACTATGTGCACTAATCCCTTAAAGACATGAATAACCAAACCACTTCCTTGGAGATATATGAAAATTGTCTGCTTAGATACTAAAGGTTGTCAGGAAAGAATGGATACTAAAAGCAGGATATCTCCTTGGAGGGATGAAGGTAAAAGATCTAAGAGTTTATGGTGTGAGGAAAGGTTAAGTTCTGCTAACTTAAAAATACAATAGGGATGTTGTTGGCTACTAGTACTGGTACTAGCTAGTACTGGTACAGAGTAGTTAACAGCCAATATACACAATATTTTGTGTTCACATCTGTTAAGAACTCATGTCCAATAAATGGTAAGAAAATGAATTCATATAAATTTAACATATCATATCAACAGCCCTGGAATGTCATTTAATCATGTGCATGCATACAATGCCCATATATTGAGGGGCTTTGTTTGTCTTATTGAAGTGCAGACAGGGTCTTGAACTTCTGATCATCCTGCTCCTAAGTGCTATGTGCCATCATGCCCAACTTAGTTATGAGTACTAGACAGCTAGCTCTCCAGAGTCCCAAGAAAGATACAAGTTCTTAAAAAGTATGCAAGATACTTTTAAAATTTCTCTCCCAGAATGCAAGCCAGGTGCAGTGGTACATACCTGTCATCCCAAAACTGCAAAGGTGGAGACAGAGTATCAGGAATTCAAGACCAACCTCAGTTACACGAGATCTTGTCTCGACAAAACAAAAAGCCAGTAAATAATAAAAACCATAAAACAAAGAACTCTCAGTCGGGCAGTGGTGGCATAAACCTTTAATCCCAGCACTCAGGTGGATCTCTGTGGGTTTGAGGTCAGCCTGGTTGAGCAGGTTCCAGAAGAGGCTCCAAAGAGCTACAGAGAAACCCTGTCTCAACAAACAAACAAACAAACAAACAAACAAACAAAACCCAAAGAGCTCTCAACAACTGACTCAGCAGCTGATCAAATGCTCCTCTCTTCCTCCACACATAGTATATTGTCACACATTGTTAAAAATTGACATCTTTCAAATGTCCTGAAACCTTTTTCTTACTTAATGAGAATTAACATGGTGACAGATGATTGTAATCAAGTTATTATATTAAGACCAAAAGCATTTTTGCAAAGTATTTACCTGATATTTTACTTATCTGTTAAATTTAAGATCTGAGTTAGAATTTATAATTTGATTTTAATAACTACATATGACCAAAAAAGATCTAGTTCGGTCACATCATTACTTCAAAAAATTTGAACTAAGAGATGAAACAGACAACAACTATGACTATAATCTGTCTTTTCCAAGTGGCTAACTGCTATGTTAGACCCATTAGTTTAATCTTTGTTTGTTTGTTTTTTGAGATAGGGTTTCTCTATGTAACAAACAGCTCAGGCCGTTCTGGAACCCACTCTGTAGACTAGCCTGGCCTGAAACTCACAAAGATCCTGCTTCCGCCTCCCAGGAGCTGGGATTAAAGATGTGTGCCACCACCACCCAGTTTAGTTCAGTCTTCTAACCCATGTATGATGCAGCAAATTTTCTAATACCTACCTGGGATACAACATCCTTTCATACATTCTATTCCAATTTTTAGGAAAATGGATACTGTTAGTAAAGTGATCTTTCAGCTAAGATTCAGTCTATGAGATTACCATGCTGTGTCATTTTATCAGCCTCCTACAATATGGAAGAACACAACCACTCTTTAATATGTTAGACTGGCAATTGTTTTATTGGTGATGTATTCAACCCTGGAAAGGACTATGGTACCAGCACTGCTCCAACCAGGAGAAAGCTTGGGTTGCTTTCCCTTTCTGGCACAGTGTCAGGGAACCCTATCTGTACTTTGATAGCCCATTAAACCATGTGAATGTGGCTCCTTTCATAGCCTTTGTCCTTTTTTGTAGCACAACAAATGGAGGTCATGTATAATCTAAACCAAAGCCACATTTTATTCTGTTTTGGTTTTGTTTTATTTTGAAATAGTTGTCCCTTGTGTGAATCTGGGTATTTGCAGCTTGTTATATAGACCAGGTGGACCTCCTGCCCTTGCCACCTGAGTGATTCCATCAAAGGTGTAACTAGCAATTTCGAATTTTCTTCAGGATTATGATACATTTTTCCCTTTAGCAATAACATTTTACAAAATTCTATAAACTAAAAACTAACAGTTATAAATTCTTAATTGCCCACCAAACTTTTCTGCTTCTCATGCTAGCCAAAACTGTCCAAATAGTATACCTTTTTCTTTATAATAGATTAAAGAGATTATCACAACATCTCAATCCACTGAGAGCATTTGGATTTTATAAATACAAGTCAGAAATGACAAAAATTAAAACAATAATTTTCCTAACAACCAAAGAAATAAGACTAGCTCAGATAAATGAGTCGTATACTCTTATGGGTTAACTTTTCGGCAGAACATTTTAGAATTCAAAAGACTGATGACAATTCCAATTCTAATTACAATTCCAATTTAACATACTCAGTGGAATGGCTAATGATAACTTACTCTGACACAGTGACAACTACAAGATAAGACAGTATTTTCTGAATAACAGACAAAGACAAGGTGTGATGGTGAACTGACTTTTCAGGAGAATTTAACAGGTTAAGAAAAACATCTAAAGTTAAAAATAATGAAAAGCAGGGTCAAGCACCAAAGTACCTAAGAACTGCCTTGAACCTAGAGTTGTCCCAGTAAATAAAACTATAATGCTTCCTACTTAGGACAGTTTGTCTTCTGAGATCCAACTCCACATGAAGACTCTTGACATGCAAACAAAGTCACTTTCTAATACCTAATGTTGCTTGGAACTCTCCAAAAATCCAACCATGCCCAAGTGCATTTAAATCTATTCTTGGTTAAAAAAAAATTTTAAACTACTCTTAGTCATTTTTGATTCACTACATAATTTCTTTTTTTAGTTTTATTTCATAAATCTCCTGCAAATTTTTAATAAATAAGACATGGAGTCTTTTCCTGTGTCTAGTGACACTGTTAGGAAAGTACAGAATCTGTGTCACCACTGTTCCTTGTAATACTTTCCCAAGAAGAGTATAATTGAACTACACATCTAAAGCCTCACCTGAATTGACACAGCTGCCCCCCAACCCAAGTTTACTCAACAATGCAAGGAGCTATATTCTCACTCATCAGAAGCAGTATTCCATGGCTGCATCCAAAGCATTCAGAGGAGAAATATAATCTGACAACACTGGAAATAGTCCCCCTATAACTGTTTATTAGGATGAGAATATACTCCAAATCAATAACTAAAAGAAAAAAAAAGTCAAATTACAGAGCATGCATAAAATACAAAGTAGCAATTTATAAATAGACAGTATATTTATAATCAATACACTAAAATAACAAATAGCTACAAAAGAAAAACAAAATGACTGACTAAAGCAATGCCTTCTGTGCTCCCCACACATCATGAGCACTGCAAAAAAACCAGATTAACCATGAAAACAGTCATCTATGCAAGCCCACACATTTTTCTTTTTGCAGGTAACCCACCATCCTGAACAATATCTTTGCAGTTAACTTTCAGAAAACTGCACAGTAAGTGCTTAATATTAACCACAAGGAAGGAAAACTAAGTATTAGTGTGTATATTTCTGAATGAGAAACTAGTTGTTCCATTAATTTCAATTATGCAGTGGAAAAATCTATTTCAGAACCCTACAATGCCTAAGTGCATTCTACTTAAACTCAAGGTACTATTTCATTTTACATACTAAAGGAACACATGCCTTTAAGTGGTACCACTTAAGCATAAATTAACCTCTCACTGTATTCTTTAGACATACTAAAACCAAAGGTTTAACTGAACTTTATTTCATTATACACTGCAGAACTCAAATATAAGCATTGTTAAATAATTACCCATGCTTGTTGGTGGATATGGTGATAAAATTAGGCTGCATTTCATTTACTAGAAGGGTTTAAAAACAAAATTAACACTTCAAAATGTCATATTACTAGCATTAAGCTAGTTATTGCATGAGCAATAAAAATGACACACAATCTACTGCAAGGAAATGAGACTGGTTAAGCTACTCAGGCTGCTGATCACTGCAACAGAGACACCTCAGACAGAAGTCCACTAGCCTACCAGGCAGCAGGTTAAATTATGACCCCATAACCATGATGCCCTACACAAAATATAACAGTCCTTTATGCTTATTAAGATAATTCTTTTCCAGAAAAAAAGAATCCCCATCATCTTGGATGCTTACAAAAACTAAAGAAAAAATTTACAACATAGACCTATTAAGGCATTTTTAGAAATTGACTTCCACAATGGAAAATCTTCAAGCTCTCAAAATGCTGTTATGTTTACAGGGCAATCCTTAGGTCTGTCAAAATATGTTCTGCATTGAGAAGAGTGTCTTACAAGCTGCTCTGTGCAAAATAATAGCTTATTTCTAAGGTTGTCTTAGTTAGATTCAGTCAGGACCAATAGGTCTGAGTTTCAAGTGATCAAATTCTATTATGTTCTACAGTGACAGGCTTCCATGATGGACAGTAAACAATAACTGAGGAATTCAAACATTCAGTTTATTAAACTAAGGCTAGAGAAGCCATAGCATTTAAAAGAACTGCAGTCATTCAGGACAAAGTTTATGATTTTATAAAGCAAAAATCAAAAGACTCAAGACATGAGAAGATTTTTAAGTGTGAGGAAGTAATAAAACACAGAAAGTGACCACAAGAATTACAAATATATTTAAATCTCAGACCTGGGAAATGGACTATACACAGCCTTCTAGGGGAAGAGAGACGCCTTAGATGTTCTGACAGCACTGCACCTTTGGCTTGTTTTCAGTGGTAGGAGGAACGTGAATAGGAACCACATTGTTGCTTGGAGACATGTCATTTTCACGTCTGTCTGACATTTGCTTCTGAGAAACAATGCGGTATATCTCTGAATGACGAAAGAAACAGAAACACTTAGTATGTGTAAATCCATGAGGAGTTTGTCTGAAAGAGATGGAAGATATGTAGAACAGAAAACACATACGTTTACATTTTATTTTTTAGGCCAGGCACTTGGGGAATGGAGGCAGGAGAATTAGGAGTACAGGACCAACCTTGGCCACACAGTAAGTTCAAGGGCAGCCTAGCTTTCAAATAGCCACTAATTAGAGTCAAAGCATTATTTTTTTAAACAATTCCTGTTACATTAAGAAGAGTAACAAGGTTTCTTCACTTCAGAGGGGAAAGTTCACCCATTAATTAAACAGCACCATATTAAACAGTGCTCTATTTATGGGTGTAGATCTGAATTAAATCATAAAAATATATACTTAACCCTCCAAAAATCCACACAAACTGACACTATGTAAAATAATCTTTACTATCAGATACACCTGTTTTCTAGGTTCTGTAGGGAGGAGCACAACTTCTCAAACATAACTAAAAATCCCAGAAGCTTCAGAAGACAAAGGGCCCTCTACGTACACTGTCCTCTGGAGCTAAAGTTAAATTATTTCAAGGAGATAATCTAACATATACATGGACTGTTTTATTTTCATGACATGTATCAATTAATATTGTAGTCCTCCACTAAACATTAATCTTTTAAAGACTAAAACTATTTGCTTCATTTGTTGCTTCAGTACCACAGAGTAGATGCCTGAGGAACTACTCAACATCAGCAAATGTTTCCCTGTATCTGTATTGACTTCACTGAAAGTGGCCTTACACTGCCTTTTTACTACCTAATCAAACAACACACTTCTCAAAAACAGAGAACAGAGTATATAGGCCTCCATCTTGCCTTTCCAATACTAACACAAGGTAGGGAAACTCTAGAAACAGGCAATCCAATAAGATGTCCTAGGAAGGACACAATGTACTCATATGTGGACTCCATGTGTCACTGACAAAACTGCTCTTGGTGTATTTGCTGATGCAGAAACAGGGCAGATACAGAATCAGACGAGTATAAATTTTCTATCTCTACTATCCAATACAGTAGCTATTTAAATAAAAATTAAAATCCATGGCTAAACATGAGGGCACAAGCCTTTTAATCCCCAATACTGAGGAGACAGATGTAGACAGATTTCTGTGAATTCAAAGCTAGCCTGGTCTACATAGTTAAGTACCAGGCCAGTCAGGGATACACAGTGAGACCTTGTCATTAAAAACATCAAAAGGCAATTCTATAAAAGATATTAATAAACTTGGGAAAATCTGAATCATAGGGGCACACTAGCTGGGCGTTGGTGGCACATGCTTTTAGCCCCAGCACTTGGGAACCAGAGGCAAGTGGATCTCTGTGAGTTGGGAGGCCAGCCTAGACTACAGAGCTAGTTCCAGGACAGGGGTACATTAGAAATACATACTGTGAACATACTAAAATTTTTAGACCTATAGTTATGTGACTATGTAGGACCATGCCTTGTTCATGAGATAAAATGTTAAAAGTATAAAGTTACACAGTAAAAAATGCAGAAAATAGAGAAAGACACTCAGAGTGTTTGAAAAAGGTTGGGTGTGTTAGCACATGCCTTTAATCTCAGCACCTGGGGGACAGAGGTAGATGGATTATGAAACTGGCTAACATAGTGAGTTCCAGGACAGCCAGGGCTATGTAGAGAGACCCTTTTCAAAACAAGTTCCAAAACATTTCAACCAACTATACTGCATAAAATTATCTGGGTCCTAATTTAAACTATAATTTTTAAAGAACTCGAGTCTGTTTACTGTTATTTAGATAACAGACAGTAATAAGAAATTACTATAAATGTTCTAGTGGTTGTATTATGAATGTAAGCTTAAATTTTTAAGATGTATATTCTGAAACATTCACAAATGAAGTGACTTATCTGAGCTTTATTTCAAAGTAATAAAAAGGTCATAGGTCAGGAACCTATACTGATGGTTATTAAAATGGGCTAGTATGATCTATTCTGCTTCAGGTAAGCTGGGAGCCACACAACAAGGGATGAATCAGGGTTTTTTGTTTTTTTTGGTGCTGAAGAGATGGCACAGCAGAATACTGCTCTTGCAGATTCTCAACACCCATTTGGTGGCTAACAACCATCTGTAACTGCAGTTCCACAGTATTCAATGCCCTTCTCTGGCCTCCGTGAACACTAGGTACACAAGTGGTACACACACATCCATAAAGGGAAGCATTCATATATAAACATTAAAAATGAATAAATCTTTAAAAAAAATTAGTTCCCCTAAAGTTGAGCAACAGTAACTTAGTAAATGAGGCTGGAGACATGGCTCAGTGGTTAAGAGAGCCTAGTGCTCTTCCAGAGGATCTGAGTTAAATCAGCAACACCCATGTCCAAGTAGCTCATAACCGGTCCTAATTCTAGCTCCGGGAGCATGTGCTTCCCTCTCTGGCCTCTTTCATCAACCCCACACATGGGGCATATAACACACACACACACACACACACACACACACACACACACACACCAAAAACACTCACCAAAACTGTACCTTTTTGTATAGTTTTTTTGAAAGTAGCTAAAACTTATCTGAGAAGGTTGGTAGTGGTTCAGAGGTAAGGAAGCACCAGCAGAGAAAGAATATAATAAAGACCAGCTATTGATTAAAAGTTTAAAAATATGAACACAAAGGGTAAGGTGTTGCTAGATCGTTCACTGAGAGGGGACAGGGATGGCCAGTAAGATGTCCAGTGGATAAATGCACTTGCCCCTAATCCTCACAATTTGCGTATAATCCCCAGAAACTGCATATTAAAAGGAGACATCCTAACTCCTGAAGATTGTCTTCTGACCTTCACTCTCACACTGTGGCATTCAATAAGCCCCACCATAAAACATAATAAACAAATACTTTAAAAATTGTTTTAAAAGAAAAAAAAGCCAGATGTGGTGGCGCACACATCTTTAATCTCAGCACTTGAGAGGAAGAGGCAAAAGGAAGATGGATCTCTTTGAGACCAACCCAATCTACATAGTGAGTTCTAGGCCAACCAGATCTATACAATGATAGACCATCTCAAAGAAGAGGGGAGCTAGGGTTGGGAAAAGGAAGGAGGAGGTTGAGAGGGAGGGAGAGAGAGAGCAAGAGGAAGGAAGGAAAGAGAAAAAACAGAAAAAAGGATGAAATGGAAATGTGGCCAGGGCAAAGAAAAGGAGTTCCCTTCAGGCTAGTGACTAAGAAATAACGATAATCATCAACTTGTGGTTAAACTATACCATCCATTCTTTATGTTGTCCACTAATATGTAACTGACTAGATCATCTTTTTGAAAAGAAAATCATTAAATATGTGATCCCTATTAAAGTTTAACTTCTTTACAAGCTGTTCTGAAGATTAAGTTAGGGGAACCAAAGCATCAGAAACTCCTCCATAAATTACAAATGCATACAACACCAGAGAAGAAACAAAGGGAGATTTCTTAGAGGACAGAAAGGTGAATAATTAAAGAGAGCTCATTTTAAAGCAAGAAACCTGAGCAGTGTTGTGCAACAGTCTCCAAATGCTGTATTCAAGAAATAGTACAGCTGCTATGTTTACTCCTGTCACTAAAAATGTATCCTCTTTTGAAAACTATCAACAAGGCAATAAACAAAAGGAATTAGGAAAAAGTATTCTTCAGGTTTAAAAACAGTTCTAAAGAGCTCCACAAGTAATTTACTTAAATCTCATGTTGGGTGTGTCATTTTCTTTGATAATAGTAACCAGGAACTGTCCAGCAGGGATCTGATTATAAATGGTTATTTCATGTTGGGAGAAAGGCCAATAATATGTTAAGTCAGAAGCAGGTTCTATACTTTCCTCAAAGGCCTGAACTAAATGAATGTGATTAGTTCATTCCCATTCAGCCCCCTTTTCAAGATGTCCAAGGGTTATGAACAACTAGACAAAGCAATCCTGCTTTATCTTTCATCAGATTCTTTTATAGGAGATCTAAACATACAGTGCAATACTAATATATTACAGCTTTAAATATAAGGCAACGCTACCTAAAACAACATGAAGTCTTTATTTTAATCTGCTAGAACTATGGAACAGCTGGTAAAATCATTCTAAGGAGATTATACAAAACTGCTCCAAATTAAGGAACAAGAGGGTTAAAATTTGTTAGCTCCAATAGGTGCTAGAGTAATGTCTCAGAGGTTAAGATCATGGCTGTTCTTGCAGAGGACCCTGATCTATTCCAAGCACTCACAAGGCAGCTCACAACCACCTACAATCACAGTTCCAGGGGCTCTGACACCCTCTTCTGATTTCCTCAAGCATGTGGCATACATACATACACGCAGGTATACATACACATAAAAAATAATTTTTAAAAAATTCTTTAGTTCCTCCAGGAGCCTGGGTAATTTCACTACAGCCTCTGCAGAAGCATCTCTAAGCTCATCATATATGTTTCTTTCTTTTCTTTTTCCTTTTTTTTTTGGGAGGGGTGGGAGGGTTTCGAGACAGGGTTTCTCTGTATTTTTGTATTGCATTGGAGCCTGTCCTAGAACTAGCTCTGTAAACCAGGCTGGCCTGAAACTCACAGAGATCCACTTGCTTCTGCCTCCTGAGTGCTGGGATTAAAAGCGTGCACCACCAATGCCCAGCCATCACGTATATTTCTTGATGGTCAAAAGAGATTCAAATTTGAGAGAGTCTGACATTTTCTGGACCAAGTGAGAACAAAGTCACCACTACCTCTAAGGAAGAGAATCAGTGCTTGGCTGGCAAGATGGCTGAGTGAGTAAAGGTGTTCACATTTCATCCCTGGGAACCATATACTAGAAGAATTGACTCCTGCACTTCTCTGACCTCAACTCTTGTGCTCACCCACATACACAATCACATACATGCACACAAAAATAAAATAGAATTTAATAATTCTTTAATGATTCTCAATATTCTGATGAAGTTAATACCTGGTAACTTTAGTCCCTTCATTTTTATGTATTTTTCAGACAGAGTCTTGTTATATGGTCCTGATGACCTCATACACATAGAGACCCCACATGATGAGATTATAGGTATGCAGTACCAAACTGGCTTTAGCTTTGTTTTAAAGAGCCATGATGTTACATGAATTAAAGTTATTTCAGGCCCACAATTAAGAGTTTAATCTTCAAATTAGGAATTTACTTTGAACTTAGTAATTACATAGAGAAACCTGGCTAACAGCACCTCAAAGTTAGAACTACCAATAATGAGGCAACCTATTATCATGAGCTTCCTAAATGATAAACTGAAAACACCTGTGTAGTGCTCCTGACACAAGCTGTACATGGCAATTTAATCATAAAGAAACAAATAAACAAACTGAGAAATTGACAAGTGGCCTGTAACTTTTAAAAATGCTAAGGTTGGTAAACAAAGGAAAACTGAAGGAACTATCATCAAGCAGTGATAGGACAGCTAAATGGAACATATGATCTGATCCCAGACTTAAAAATAAAAAAAACTAATAAAGTCTTTATTGGAACAAATGGCAAAGGTCTGTTGATAAAGACTGACGTGATTAAATCACTGTGTTGTGGTTATAAAAAAGACAGGGATAAGTATATATAGCACTTACTGTGTGTGTGTGTGTGTGTGTGTGTGTGTGTGTGTGTGTGTGTGTGTGTGTGTGTAGGGGAGAATGGAAGAAATGGAAAGAAAAAAAAGACACTAACAGTTAAGGAAATGGGGTACAGGTACTCACAAATCCTCTATAAGGTTGTTATAAGTTAATCACCTCTGAAATTTTTAAAATGAAAAGAGGGTATGGAAAAGAGTGGTTAAAAAACCTCTTAGGGATGAAGCTTGGCTGGTACATGATCAAGACAGAGTAGGATCTAGCAACATGTCCCTCCCCAACCCAATCTCCAGGTAAAATTGAGGCGGAAAGAACAAAGCTCAACTGAAGCTGAACTGAAAGGTAGGGGTGGAGCAATCCACCAGCCCACCTTGGCACTAGCCAACCTCTCAAGGTACCACAAGAAAACTCATCTCTTGAAATCACTGAGTATTAAAGGATGTAAAATGTGGGTCTATTGCAAAACATTTCCAATACTATGCTATTTTCCACTTGGCTTAGCCTGATAAGCAAATGATATAAGGAGTTGTCCTCTGACCACAACATGATCACTATGACCCCACCCCTGATATAAATGAATAAGTAAAATTTAATTTTTAAAAAAATTTAGCCAGATGCTGTAGCACATGCCTTTAATCTCAGCACTTCCAAGGCAAAGACAAGCAGACTCTGAAAGTTGAAGGCTAGCCTGACCTACATGTTAGAAAAACAAAGACAAAGAAAGTAGGACTTGTAGGAATATTGTATATTTAACAAAATATTGCATGATAAACGATCCACAGTGAGATCACTCAGAACATATTTTTTTAAAAATATGCTCTGTACCACAAACTATTTTCCTCCAGCTCCCTACTGACTGTTCTTTAGACAACAAAAAATTTTACAATATGGCAGCACTAGCCTTTAATCCAGCACTCTGCAGGCAAAGGCAGGTGGTGGATCTCTACGTTTGAGGCTGGCTTGATCTACAAAATGAATCCCAGGACAGCCAGGGCCACACAGAGAAATCCTGCTTTTAAATAAATAAATAAATAACATTGATGCAAATCTCCAATATTTTTATCATTTTAACAAGCTTTTTTTTTCATACCTTAATTGCTACTTAGGTACTGACTTATCAAATATTCACTATTTACCAGGAATAGCTAAGCCCTTGACAGGTAATAACTAATTTTTGGAAATAGCTCTAAAAATAAGTGGAGGAATCAGGCTTCCCCATCCATGATCTAAATTTCAAGGCTCATTACATACATTTTTTAAAACAATAAGAATATTTTACAGTTAAAATTCTGCTCACCTCTAACACAAGTTCTACCTACAGCATTAAAACTTGTACATTATAAGACTAAACAATTCTATGTATCAACTTATAAGAACAGCACATAAGACACTACTATGTGTTGAATAGATTCAGAATCATAAGATCTTTAAAAGTTAACACATAATTCAGGAAGTGGTGGCCCACACCTTTAATCCCAGCACCCAGGAAGCAGAGGCAGGCAGCTCTCATTGAGTTGGATGTCAGCCTACAAAGTGAGTTCCAGGACAGCCAGGACTATTACACAAAGAAACCCTGTCTCAAAAAAACAAAAGAAAGAAAGAATGCAACATGTATATAGGTGTCCTAAAAAACAACCTATGAAAGTCATTCCTAATAGATTAAATGTACTGCTAATTTGGTTGTTCTAGTAAAGCCAAAGTAAATATGAGTTAGCACAAATAAAATGTCTTCTTTCCAAGAGGCTGACTTGGTTATCCATATTCCAAAATAGCATGAACTTTGTCTCTTTCCCATTACTCATTTAAACTTTTCTATATGCAGCCTTGGTGAAATTTATTTATAAGAGACACACTCCTATATCATGGAAAAATATCAGTGCATTTTTTCCCACTTAAACCTATGGTATATAATTTCTTCTCTCTTTTTTTTTTTAAGAGTGTGTGTGTGTGTGTGTGTGTGTGTGTGTGTGTGTGTGTGTGTGTCTGTCTGTCTGTCTGCTTGCCTGCCTGCCTGCCTGCCACAGGTGTGTAGGTACCAGCAACAGAGCCCCTAAAGCTAGAGTTAAAGGTAGTTTTGAGCCACTCCATATGAGTGCTGGGAACACAACTCAGATGATCTGGAAGAACAGTAAATACCCTTAAATGTTGAGCCATCATCTGACCAGCCAGATTTTTATCTAATTTCAAAAGGCATTTATATAGTTGTATAGTCAGGATCTCAGTATTTACCTTATAAAATTACATTTAAAAAAAAAAAACATACATGAGAACACATAACTCTGTCCTTTGGCTATGAAATGTAGACTACATGGCTTGAACACAAAAAAGTGAACTAATTACTTTCAAAGAATATTTTTCCCAGATGAATTTGGTGACTGAAGTGCAACGTGCAAGCATTGAAACTGCACACCAAGGAACTCTTGCTACAGCTGCTCTTAAATGGTAGTCATTTTCAGATGGCATAACAGTTTCCTAATTAATTTGTTTAAATCACTTCCTAAAACTCCAGGTTCTAGCTGGGCAGTGGTGGCACATGCCTTTAATCATAACACTCAGGAGGCAGAGGCAGGTGGATTTCTGTGAGTTCAAGGCCAGCTTGGTCTACAAAGCTACACAGAGAAATCCTGTCTCAAAAAACTCCAGTTTTTCTCTGTTGTAACCTAAAAATCTTAAGTCTCACCTGTTAGAATTGTCTGAAAAGCAGCTTCAACATTTGTAGAATCTAAAGCAGATGTCTCAATGAATGACAAACCATTCTTCTCTGTGGAGAGAAACAAAATTTTCAGTCTTGTGAAATTTGATTGCTGTTTAATAGAGCCGACAACTCAATCCACAGCCCCACCAATGCTAGGAAAGCCCTCTATCACTGAGCTACCTCCCCAACCGCTCAAGGTTTAAAACAGCAGATGTGATAAGCTCATGATCACAAAAAGGAAGATAAAAGACTAAGACCTAGCTGGGTGTGGTAGTACATACCTATCACCCAGCTCTTGAGAAGCAGGACCAGGAATTCAAGACCAGCCTGAGAAAGTGTCCCAAAACACGAAACAAAACCTTAAACTAAACCAATTTCTGGGGTAATAAGAATACTGTTCTATTTATACTTCAGTAAATTAAAATTAACAGTAAGAAATGTTCATTAGCTTCTAAGTAATGTTGCATATAAATACCGCCCACTGGAAACAAATGAAACTATTCAAAATATATAACTTATCAAACATCCCACTACTTCCAACCCAGCCATTCTCCCTAGCAAGTACATAACTAGAAGCATCTTTACTTGGAATTCTGTTACTACACTATTTGGAAACTTAGAGGAATGGGGTGTGCTCAGAGCAGGGAGCCATTGTAATGAGGGGCACAGCACTATGCCCTCTCTGTGAGCAGATTCCTTACATGAAATAAAAAAAGTTAGAGGAAAACATTCACAATATTTTCACTAATACAATGTCAAGACTTCCTAGCCAGTGCAGTGCTACCAGAAGGGCAGCAAGAAACAAGCAGATACTACATAAAGCTCAAAGTGCTCAGCTTCTAGGTAGGCTCACCCTTGTTGGTCCCTGACACTCCTTGGCACACTACTTTTCAGACTCCCATAGAATGGCCTTGTTAAGAAAGAGAGGCATAATATTCAAACAGAGAAATGCAGAAGCACTGTAATATTGTGGAGTCCACATTACTAACCTGCAAAAGCTCTTGCTTCATCTGTAGGAACTGCTCTGAGATGGCGTAAATCACTTTTATTACCCACAAGCATGATAACAATGTTGCTATCAGCATGGTCTCTCAGTTCTTTCAGCCATCGCTCTACATTTTCATATGTGAGATGCTTAGCAATGTCATAAACCAGTAACGCGCCTACTGCTCCACGATAGTATCTGCAAATACAAACATTTGTAACTATCAAAAGACAATCACAAAATAGAAGGCAACACCAGAAAAAAACTCAAAACAGGAATGGTACAAGGCAGGGAGATGGCTCTGGTAAAGCACTTGCCATCTAAGCCTGAGGTCTGAGTTAAAATCTCTAGAACCCAAAAGCTAAGGACAGTAATCCTGGTCCTCCTACAGAGAGATGCGGGACTGAAACAGGAAAAATCTCCAGAACTTCACATGCCAGGTAGTCTGGCATAAACAGCAGTGAACAACAAATACTGTATGTCTCAAACAAGGTGGAAGGTGAGGAACAACACCCAAGGTTGTCCTCTGACCTTTATACATATGTAATACTAACATATGCATGGAGGGAGACACAGACACACACACACACAAAATATCTACAAATATGGCATGCAGTAGTTGTTCCTTATATGAAGTATTACACTTAGTCATCCACAGTCCAAAAATATTAAATGAAAAATTCCAGAAATAAATAATTCACAAACTTTAGTATTATGATGAAACGTCAGTGTTCTACTTCATCCAGGCCAGCATATGACTCATCCTTTTGTCCAATGTATCCACACTGTATAAACTACAGTGTTATACAGTTAAAGTCTCTTTATAGCTCTCCCATTATCTATGGTCTTCCCTATGTACAAGTAACCCTTAGTTTATTTAATAATGCCCCCCCCCCCAAAACAAGTAGAGCATGCCAAAGAAAAGCTGCAAAGGATCTATTACGAAGAAAGATACAGGGGGCTGGAGAGAGGGCACTGGTTGCTCTTGCAGAGGACCCAGGCTGTTTTCTAGCACCCATAGGGTGGTTCACAACCATTTGTAATTCCACTTTCAGGGGATCTGCTACCATCTTTTTACCTCCATGGTAAGCACAAATGTGGTACACACACATGCAGGCAAAACATGAATAAAATAAAATAATAATAAAAACAATTTTAAAAAACATCAAAAATGAAAATAAAAACCCACAAGTGGAAATATTCAGGGTTTGTTGTTGTAGGCATCCAGGAAGGATCTTGGAATACGTTTCCCAAGGTTAAGGTGGGACTACTATACCTTCACAATACTTAAAGTCAGCAATCCACATGATACCAACCTATGTTAGAACTGAGAAACCATGAACTTACGCAGATGTTATAGCCCTGTACCGCTCCTGCCCTGCTGTGTCCCATATCTGCGCCTTTATTGTTTTCCCATCAACCTGGATGCTTCTTGTTGCAAACTCTACTCCAATGGTACTCTTGCTTTCCAGATTAAACTCATTCCGAGTAAATCGAGACAGGAGGTTACTCTTTCCAACACCGGAATCTCCAATAAGGACAACTGAAAAGATAAAAATAATAATAATAATAATAATAATAATAATAATAATAATAATAATAATAATAATAAAAGCTAAACAAAGGCAAGCACATTCAGAATGCCATTATGTTTTTAATAAAAGGACATTCAGCTTCAAACTAAATACAATCAAAGATTTTAAAGAGACATAATACCAAATATCTTATGTCTCTGACCAATCAATTAAAATGCATTTACTCTTTTTAATTTCTTTCTATCTGCGTAATGACTTCCCCACATCATCTACTCAGCACACAGATCAGATATAGCACCCCATCTAAAAGAATATTCCTCTCTTTTTGTCCTATCTGGGAACTCAAACCCTGAGCCTTACACAGGTAAAGTAAACACAAAGCCACTGATATATATCCCCAGCCCTCAAAAATGCAATTTTGCAATTTAGTCATAGGGTATCCTAGCCACCAATGCAAACATTAATTACCTTTAATTTATAGTAACCTCACTACCTTAGAAAGTATTCTGAAAGGTAACTAACAACTTGTGTTATTCACGTTTTAGACATCAAACAAAAGATGTCAGTGTATAGAGTGAGAAAACATGTACATTCTACTAGTTTCATTGAAGACAAGGTGTGATGTGAGACCTGAAACACATTTAAAACATGAGGTATTAGGTTTACAAGTTTTGCTGCTCTGGTCATAGAAACTATAATCATCTTTAATAGTTACACTTCACAGAGTGGCAGAAAGCCACAGGGGCACTTCTTCTCACTATGGACAAACAGGAGCCCTAGGAACCTAACAATTCTGACATACTAAGTCAAAGCAAAAGTAAGGAGGGCAAACACTTTCACTTAGGACTCTCTAAAAATGTTTAAAAACAAGTTTGATTATACTCACTTTCTATGAATAGAAGGCAGTTTATTTACTAAGTAACTTCTCCCCAAAGTGTTATGATACTTTTTAAATTTTCAAATAGGACTAGTGAGATGACTTAACAAGTAAAGGCACTTGCCACCAACCCTGAGGACTAGAGTTCCATCTCTAGGACCCACTTGGTGGAAAAGAACATACTCTAAAGTTGTCCTCTGATCTCCAAATGTGTGTAAAGCTCACACATGAATGAATGAATGAATGAATGAATGAATGAATGAATGAATGAATTCATTAATATAATTTTCTATGTATGTAAACATGAGTCTCTGTAAGTATGCCATGTGTATGTGTATGGGGGGTGGGGGGGGTGTGCCCAGAGAACAGAGGAAAACTGCAGTGGTAAACAGCCAAATGCAGCCAGTTCTTAACCACTCAATCGCCTCTCCGGTCCCAATGAAAGTAACTAAGAAAATTAAGGGGGGAAAAAAAAAAAGAATTTCAGGCTAGAGAAATGACTCAATGATTAAGAAAACTGGCTATTCTTCCTGAGGACCCAGGTGTGGTGATATCTTGCTTGTACAAATAAAGCCTGTCTGAGAGATCAGAGCAAGACATCATCACACCCATGTTTGATTTCTAACACCCACACAGTAGCTTAGAACACTCTAACTCCAGACAACAGTTTGTAATTCCAGTTCAAGGATCAGATACCCTTGACTGGCCTCTGCTGATATTGTACACAAGAAGTTCACAGACATACATGCATACCAAACCACCCCCACACATAAAATAATAAAATAAAATTAAAAATGTCTGCGCTAGACATGGTACACTCCTTTAATCCCAGCATTCAGAAGGCAGAGGCAGGAGATCTGTGAGTTTGAGGCCAATCTGGTCTACATAGAGTTCCAGGCCAGCCAGGGTTACATAGTGAGACCGTGTATCCAAACAAACAAATAAAAAAGGGAAACAGGAATTTGAGAAACAAGTTGAATTGCTTGTTTAAGAGAGGGTCTTGGCAGAGGCAGGTGAAATCTCTGAGTTTGAGGCCCACCTAGTCTATAGAGTTCCATGTCTTAAAAAAAAAAAAAAAAAAGGAAGGAAGGAGAGCAGAGGGAGGGAGAGGGAGAGGGAAGGAATGGGGAAAAGGGAGAGGGGGAGGGGAAGGGAAGGGAAGAGGGAAGGGAGCAGGAGAGCTGGAGGGACCTAGATGGAGAGATGGCTCAGTTGTTAAGAGCAATGACTGCTCTTCCAGAGGACCTAGGTTTTGTTCCTCCCAGCACCCACATGGCAGCTCACTACTATCTGTAACTCCTCTCACAGGGAATCTAGGGGATCCAACACCCTCACAGACAACATACAGGCAAAACAACAATGTACATAAAGTAAAAATAAATTATTAAAAGAGAGAGGGGAGGAGTCTCATTCTGGAACTAAGGTTGGTCTAGAACTCAAAATCCTCTTGGTGAGATTATAGATGTAGGTGTGTTATCACATGCCTAACTTCAGACTAATTGTGTTAAAAACATAAGTTTAAAGACCAAAATGGGGTGGACGTGGGGGTTACACAGCACTCAGGAGGCAGAGGCAGGTAGATCTGAGTTCAAGGCCAGTCTGGTCTACATAACAAGTTGCAGGGCAGCAGACAAATGCTACACAGAAAAATCCTGTCTTAAAAAAAAAAATAAAAAATAAAAATTGGTTTTTGGGTTTATAGAATCTGAGCTAAACAATATCTTTTCCTGCCTAAAAATTTTTGTAGCTGGGCATTGGTGGCGCACGCCTTTAGTCCCATCATTCAGGAGGCAGAGGCAGATGGATCTCTGTGAGTTCAAGGCCAGCCTGGTCTACAGAGCTAGTTCCAGGACAGGCTCCAAGGCAATACAGAGAAACCCAGTCTCAATAAATAAATAAATCGCTGGTACAGTAGTAAAACGGTATTTATTTCTACTGTTGACTAGTAATGCTTTTAAACTAGCTGACTGGTGTAGACATCAGACTAGAAAATGAACACAAAAGGTTAAGGCCAGAGAATACTAAGGCATGCTTTACTCAAAAACTGGGGTTTGATGGTACCTGTAGAAAGAAGGCTGACTGCACACCAGCCAAAGACAGCCCATTGTGCACACCTTTCTTGTCACAGAAGTAGACACTAGCTGTCCCTATTACAACCATGCATTATCAAATGCATATCTTTCTGGCTTCCTCTATCAGCTGATTCAGCAAGAAATCCCAGCAGAGGTGGCTCCGTGCAAGAAAGAGAAGTTATTTCTATCTTTGTCAATTAGAGGGTATCCTAGTAAACAGACATTAAATGCTTTGACTGGATACCAGGGAAAATAATGTCAAGATCATGAAAACAAAACAATGCACTTTCAATTTTACAGAATAGTTAGTTGGTAGGCTGGTTTCCAAACTCCATCTCTGTAGATGTTAAGTTGAATCCCAGCTTCTTTAATAGAATCTTCCTAGTAATAAGATACATTCACTGTTTTTTTGTTAGTATAAGAGGCTAAATGGTCAGAGCACAATTCCTGGGGGCTGGAAAAGTGATCCCAGACAAGAAACTAGTCTGGGCTTCAGCCAAAACTCCCTACACGTTTCCTGGATAGCAATCCTTCACACTCCAAGAGTACAGAAACTTAGGCCTGGGAGATGGTTCAGCAGGTAAAGGTTCTTGCTGCCAACCCTAAAGACCTAAATACAATCCCATGAACCCACATGGTAGAAAGGAGAGAATCAACTCCTTCAACTGTCTTAGACTTCCATACACACACACACACACACACAACCACACACACACACAAGCCCATATGCCACCAAAACAAACATACATTCATACATACAGGCATAAAATAAATACATGTACTTCTTAAAAAGGAGGCAGAATAATCTGAAGGAATTTCCTTTGAATCAATTCTGGTCCCACATTAGCATCAACATTAACTAGAGGTATGTATAGTGAAGAAGGAAAAACCAAAGATTAGAACACATCTAATTAATTCACAGACACTCCCATTGCAACCAGTAATACAGAAGCCAGTCACAATTTAAAGGCAAAGAATACACGTGAGCAAGGCTTCTAGCTAACATCAACTTTTGGTAAGGGTACACCTTCAAAGAACAATGTACACCTCCCACAGAAATTCCATCAGTAGTCCATGTTTTGGTTTAAAATATTAGCCATTCTTGAATGTTTTTGTTTTTAGTTTATCTTTATATATGTGGATGTTTTCCCTGCATGCAAGTATGTACATGACATGCACGCCTGTCAGGTTCCCTAGAACTGGGGTTATGAATGGTTGTAGGTGTCGGGAAATGAACCCACGTTCTCTATAAGAGCAACAAGTGCTCTTAATTGCTGAGCCTTATCTGCAGCCCCTAGTTCATGTTTTGACCTCTACTTTTAACTAATGACTGTATTATCTCACCAACATCAAATCGTTATACCATACTACATGAAGAATACAAGCCCCATGTAAATAATTAATTTTATTATTTAAAAATTAGCCAATAGTCTGTAAACAATTCAACATCCACAAATACTCTACCACTATAAAAGTTATACCAACCAGCTACTGACAAGATCTCCAAAAGTCAAGACTAGCAACTTGTCAAAGGAAAGGGATGCTTGAAATGACAGAAGACTCCAGGTTTGTAAGAGAGAGAATGTGTGCATATTGAAATGCGACATGATACGGAGAAATGTTTCTATTTCCTAACCAAATAAGAAATCAAAATGAGCGATCTATTTAGGACGGACAGATAGATGGAATTAATTAATTACCTAACAAAAGAGAATTTATTGTTATGATTTAAAAACAAAACAAAATTTAATGGACCTTTCTTTGTGAACTCAAAATTAAATAATTCCTAGTTAAAATATTTACTCATTAAGATGACAACATTTACATCCCTGTCCCCCCTCCCCCAGTGGTGCTGGGGATCTAAACCTAGGGCTCATGTTAAGCTCATGATTTACCAGCCTCTTGGGTTCTTTTGTTTTGTTTTTTTAATATAAAAACTTTATGTTCATATCAATCCAAGATGGCTCAGCAGATAAAGGCACTTGACGCCAAGCCTGATGGTAGAGGGAACAGACTTCTGACCTCCACACACTCACCATGGCACACAACCCCAACATACATATAATCCCATAAATAAACAGATGCAATGAAAATGTAAAGGAATTTTCAGTAATTTGTATACATCTATTACTAACATCTTAGGCTGAACGGACATATATTTAAGTATTCTACAACATTAGCCATCTACAGAGTACATACTAAACAACATGATAAGATAATTTAACAGTATCTATATACCAAATATCAATATAATTCCTAAAATAATGGCTCCCTAGAACTTAGCCACATATGCTGAAATTCAACCCAATACCTAGTATTAATTTGTTTATATAAGCTTTTATATATTATATACACCTCAAATATCAGTCTGGTAAATACTGTAAAAGCAGAGTATATACATTAATTATCTATTATTAAGTTTAAATTACTATCTCTAACCACATTTAAGTATTTTTGCTATTGTTTTTGTTTTTATTTTCTGAAATAGGATCTCATTCCGTAGCCCAGGCTGACCTCAAAAGTATGGCTATCCACCTACCTCAGCCTCCCAAGTACAGGAATCACAGGCATAAGCCTCCATGCTCTGCCCACATTTAGTTTTATACTTCTCTAATAAGCTCATTTACTGTTTAACTCCTCACCTCACATACAGAATACTGGCTTTAAAACTTACTAGCTGAAGCCACAAGCCATTTTCATACTGGTTTTCAAGAGCTTAGGAGTATTTCTACTTTCAACCATACTCAACATCCAACTTCACCAAGTCTTTAAAATAAAATGTGTCAATAATGCTGAAGTCTAGACAAGCTTTTCCAGCTTCATTAGACTCTGAGTTGCTCAACCAAAAGTTGTGAAAGAAAAGCTACCAAGATTCAAGACAGGGATGGTCCTGCTGATAATCAGTTGATGATTCATGACACCTGGAAAGAAAAAGCCAGGAGAGTAGACTATGTTCCCACCTGCTTCCAGAAAGTGCCACTCTGACTGTCCTCGTGTCCAGCCACCTGTCTGTCCCACAGCAGCTTAACCACCTGGTGTATGCACAAGGTTATGCTTTTAAGAAATAATGCAAAGTCCCTAAGTCTCACTGCAAAGCATAAGTAAAATTTAATTTTCAAGAACAAATACATGATTTGGAACTACCCTTATCTGCCCACATCACATTCCCATTTAGACTACGCTGCTCCATGTGATAAACATACCCCTTTGTGTTAAATGATACAAACTCTCATTTCCTTAACTATTCAGTGTGCTAGGTTAGCCTTCTCCAAAGTAGAAATGCTATGGCTCATCTTAGACTAAATCTCTATGGAATGAAACCATTTAAAAATAATTTTATAAGTAAAAAATTGGCTAAGTAATCTGTGTTGAAATAAAAAATAAAGTGACTCATATCCTGTAGCAGTTTCTAAAAAGTGGAAACTCTTCTCAGCAAAAACTTTTAAACACCCAGTCTTATATAGCAAAATGTACAAAAAAATAAAACCAGAACCCTCGGAGATACAAACTAATTCAGTTCTGTGCTTTATAAAACTCACCTGTTCTTTAACATAAAGATTGATTGTTTAGTGAGATGGCTCAGTGGGTAAAAGCGTTTCCCATCAAGCCTGATGGCCTAAGTTCCACCCCTGAGACTCAGGTGGTAGAAGAAATTAACTGATTCCCCAAAAGCTGGTCTCTCACCTCCTCACATGCTGTGTACACATGAGCACACAAATATCAATAAATGTAATTTCTAATAATTTTAAAAGATTTATGGCTCAACAATCTGACAAGAACTGTAACAATTTCATTTATAATTATTTATTGAGTCCTCATAAGAGCTAAATTTTATACTCTCACTTATTCCTCAAAAAGCTATAGCAGGATTTCTTTTACTGAGGAAGCTTAAGCTCAAAAAAGCTGAGCAGGGAGAAATTATAATCTCAAAAAATAAAAAATTACTTTTGAAAACTTAACTTTTCCAAAGCCACAGGCAAATATAAAACCCCAGTGTTTTCTCTCCCTGATCTAGGATAAATTAACATTCCTAGGAAAAATAAACAGCATTCTATAGCCAACATTCACATTCCAAATCAATAGGATGAATAACTTCAAAAGAGACTAGGTACTCACTGTCATTACACAGTACTTAACCAAACCCCAAATGCTCCTGGGATTTAAGTAATTTCACATCATCTCAGATGCTTCAGCATTCTAGGTTTTCTACTTGTTTGGGGTTTGGTTTTGATTGTTTTGAGACATAGTCTCACTATGTAACTCTGGCTGGGCACTCACACGGTCAGCTGCCTTCTGCCTCTCCAGTGCTGGGATTTTAAAAGCTTACCACAACACACCAGGCTTTCTTAATTGTATTTTTAAAGTTTGGTACCTTCTTATCTGTAAATTATTTTCCAGTATGGTAGTAAGGGCAGACACTTAAGGTACTTACCCTATAAATAGACTATCCGAAGAAGTAAATAATGATAAGGGTGTACCAGCAGCTAATACGCCAAGACTTGTAAAAGTATTCGGTAAAGCAAAAGAAGTGTTGTTTCCTGCTTCATCATTTAGTCAGTCACTCTTGGCACCCAATTGCAAAGCCAGAAACATCATGCTTCACACTCTTGAAACTCCACCCTCCACAGTAAAGCTTTACTAGCAATGGCTTCTTCCTCTCTGGTAATGATCTTTGTTCAGCACACTACTGATGGCTGCCCTTTTAAAACAGGAGCACAGCAAGACTACGAAAGTGAGAGCGCATTCATGAACAAAAAAAAAGCGTTCACTGTACTCTCTTTTCACTGGGAACTGTATCCTTTCACTCTGGCTTCTTTCCGGACTCAACCAATAAGCAATTCTCTATCTACTCTCCCCCCCCCCCCATCCTCCCATGTTCTGTCCACCCGCTTCACGTTTTCCCCTACCTTGCAATAAATTCTTGACTTCACTAAAAGAGCATGCCACCACTATAACCCTCTCCCACCGTCTGGGAAAGGTATGTGGCCAACCAGGGCTCTTCCCTTCCTGTAGGATCCTCCCAACATTGCAGCAGGAAGCAACCAGTCCACAGTGATAAGCTAGCTAGTATTTGTGCAGCGCACAACCTTTCCTGTTCAGGAACTGGGCCTTCAGGTCTGGCAGGGATAACAGCCACCACCCATCCGCAGCCCCTTCTCGAAAGCCAAGTAAAGGAGTTATCCTGGTCTGGTTGTAGCTGGGCAGGGACAGGAGAAGGAAGGGGGTTAAAAAGGCGAGGTGGGAAGTCATCTGCCTGCCTGGACACTGCGACAAGTGCACGCACGCCAGGGGTGATGGACAGCCGCTCTTGCCCTCCCTTCCTCTCCCTCCCACCAGCCAGGTCGCATCGCAGCTCTAAAGGTTATGTGAAAAGAAAAGGTACAAAGCTGTCCATCTGTGGGGAGGGAGAGGACAGTCCGCGGATACTGACCTCGAGGTCTGCGGGGATGGGGGTGGGGGCCCTAGGACGGGCGAATCTGGCCGAAGCCCAGGAAAGGCTCACTCGGAGGGAGGGGAAACGAAACGAAATGAAAAGGAAAAACAGAAAAACAAACAAACACACACCCCACAGAGCCGGTGCCCCAATATGGGTGCTGAGCCTAAGCAGGGGCCTGTCAGAGGGGGATGTGAGGCCGGCAGCGCGCATCCAAGAGGAGGGGCCCGAGATGCCCAGAGAAGAAACTGCACGGCCGTGAGGAACGCAGCCATCGGGGCAGACGCGGCGCGGCAGCCCTCCCCGGGACGCAGGAGCTGCGAACGACCGGCGGGACCCCCGTCGGGGCGGCAGGGAGGAAGCGCTGAGGCGGGCTCCGTCCAGGGCCGGGCTAGCCCTCGCGCGGATCCCCCGGGAGTGTCTCGGGCCCGAACGGGCTCTCGGCGGGCCAAGGGCTCACCTTTAAAGAGGTAGTCGTACTCGTCGTCGCGGGTGCCCATGGCGCGGCCGAGGAGCTGAGGGGCGGGAGCGGCGGTGGCGACAGCGGCGGGACCAGGGGGCGTCGCTGCAGGGGTAACCCGAGCGCCGAGCTTCAGCTGCCGGACCCGGTGAAGAGCCCCGCCCTGGCTCTGCGTCACTTCCGTCAGGCCCCAGCCCCTCACAGGAAGTACTTCCGGAGAAGTGGCGCCCCGCCCCTGAGGTGGTCGGTGGAAGCCACGGGAGTGAACTCCGCACTCTCACCCGGCTTGAGAAGGCTTACATAGAAAAGTCTTAAAATGCCCAGCTGGACACAGTGCTACGGGCCTTTGCCTTGTTCTTTCCTCAACCATTCAGGGAAGGGAGGCATGGTATGTTTCCGGTCGGGGGCGGGATTTTGTTACCATTAGGCACCCAAAGAGGAGGTTGCCCTTGTGTTGGTTCCATGGTGTAATGGTTAGCACTCTGGACTCTGAATCCAGCGATCCGAGTTCAAATCTCGGTGGAACCTGTTTCTTTACTTTTTTATAGTTACTAGAATAACAGAATAATTGTATTATATCTGCTTTTGGATTGACTCACACATAGTATTTACCAATGAAGATTTCAACAACGAATCTCTTCAGTTCAGTAGTGTCTGCTACATGGAGGCCTGAACATTATTAAACTCTTAGTTCTTTTTTAGTCTTGAAAGAAGCTTGTTACTTGATTCCTTTTGCTGGAATTTTCTACCCTATTTATCTGTTAAGACTAGGTACTTCTCACCCACTCAATCTCTTCAGAAATCTCTTACACTGTCTCCAAATGTCATTAAGAGAACTTCGCCCACTCTCCTCATAAAGATCCATCAAGATCTTTAGTCCAAGATAAGCCAGGTTAAATAAATTTAACACAAGAGGACAGTAACTTCCATTTTAGTGGATGTCAGTCTTAAGACTCAAGAGATTTGCCATATTGTCTCCTCATTGTTGTTTTGTTGTTGGGGGCAGTCTTACTCCCCTCTGTAACCCAGAATGGCTTTGAAATCACCCTATAACCTAGGCTGGCTCTGCTGTGCTTCTCTGCTCCATCTCACCCCACCCTCTAAATACACAGAGGGATATTCACCTAATAATTCCTGAGATATGTATGTTAGGTCATGGGAAAAGAGGATTCAGCTTACAGATGGAATTCAAGTTGCTAATCAACCTACCTTAAGCAAGGATATTAACTTTGATAATCTGAGTAGGCTCAGAGCTGTCCTTAGCGTCTTTCCAAAGTGAAAAAGAGGGTTGTTAGCAGGGATGAGATGCTTCTCCATGCTGCCACCAGCCGCCTTGGGAGAGAGACCTGGAGGACTTTGCCGCATTTCAGGGTGATAAAATATGAAATGGGATTGGAATTTATTAAAATATTTTAATGTAGATTCTAAATTCTGTGATTAAGAGGAATTAAGGGTGGCAAAAAGAAAGACATGGCCAAGAGCATGAACTTTTCACAGAGTCCTTTATAGGCACCATTGTCACCAAGGGTTTCAAATCTATCTCTTCAAATCTATCTGAGGGATCCGAGATCATATGGTGGCTCTTGGTGAACAGGAACGTAGCTGATAGGGTAATATTCTAGGTCACAAGGAGTGTTGCAGGGGAATTTAAGATGGCTTAACTGTAAATGAAGGTTTACTTTTGTTGTGAGATTCAGGGGAAATGTCTGGGAGAAAAGTTAGGCCATACTGTAAGACCATAAAAGATTAGTTCTTAACAATTCATTGCTTTTTTAACATTCTCTCTATAGATATAATGTTTTAAAGGCCATCACTAGACCAGGCGTGGTTGCTTGTATTTTTAATCCCATTTGGGAGGCAAAGGTAAATGTGAGTTCAAGACCAGACTAGTTTCCATAGTGAGTTCAGACCAGCAAAGGTTACAAACAGGAAAAAAAAAAAAAAAAAAAAAAAAACAAGGCCATTCCTATAGCTGGGAATGACGGCACAACACCTATGAACCCAGCACTCATGAGGTCGAGGCGGGATGGTTACAAATTCTAGGTCAGTCTGGGCTATATATGGAAATCCTATCTCAAAAGGAGTGGTGGTTTGGGGTGCATGCATTTGTGCTCACATAGGCAAGTTGTGAGATGGCAAGGGACAATGGTAAGGTAGCTCAGCAGATAAAAGCATTTGCCACTAAGCCTAAAGACCTGAGTTCAATTCCAGAATCCTATATCCTACTTGGAAGGAGAGAACTGACTCCTAAAAGTTGTCCTCTTATTTCTATGGCACAGGTACACATGCATCTTATGTTAAAATATAGTTTTAAAAAGATTGTAGGGAGGCATAATTCTTTCTTACTTTCTCTTTCAGTCTTTCTCTTAATAAATCTACATTCTCTCTACAATAATAATAATAAAGAATGTTATCTCCAACACTGACAACCTTTACAACAAATGTTAATAATGTTGAAACTGTTCACTATTGACTGGAGAGAAAGACTTCAATCAGACTCTAGAGTGAAGGCTCTTCTGCCTCCTGAGGTTACCATAATTTTCCCTTGTAACTTCCTCAGAAGTCATATGTTAGGTCACATGCCTATAATTCCAGCACTTGAGAGGAGATAAGAGGATCAGGAGTTCAAGGTCACCTGGGCTTCTGGAGACCCTGTCAGGAAGAGAAAGAGGGAGGGGGGGGGGAGGAAGAGACAGAGACAAAGAGGTGGGGGGCAAGAAGTGATCACACAGATTGATGGGATGAGAAAGAATTTCAACGTGTCCCTGCTGGCTTTGAAGATAAAGGGAAGTAATGAGGAGCCTCAGAATCCATAGGTTTCTAGAAACTGGAAGAGGAACCCAAAGAGATTCTTCCCAGAGAAGAAACACAGCCCTTTCTACACCTTGATTTTAGCTCAGTGCTGAGTTGATTTAAATCACCAAGCTCATGGCAATTAATTTCAGCAGGCATAGAAAATGAATATAACAACCTTTTCAGTACTTTGCCAGTGCAAAGGGATCGATTGCCAGGCATGGTGGTGCACACCTGTAATACCAGCACCTCAGAGATGGAGGCAAGAGGATCAGGAGTTCAAATTCAGCCTAAGCTCAATGACACCCCAGCATTGTGAAGGTGACAGTCATTCAAACTAAGAGAGATATGTACTATTGCTTAAATAGCCACAAGTTTTTAAGGTGCCCATATGTGACTAAAGATGATTATCAGATGGTCTCAGTGCTACTTATTGGAGGAGACAGACAGGGCCACAAATAGGAAACTCAAGACGGAAAAAGCAAGGAAGGAAGCTTGGTTTTGGGAAGTGGGGAAAACGTGACTGTGAGGGTGTGTTGAGTAAGGCCATGGATGCTGCCAGAAGTTCTAAGTACATTTTCCCCTTATGCCATTATTTCTCAATGTGAATTCTGAGAAGGACAATAGTGTTTCTCAACAAAAACTTGCATGATCAACTACATTGAAAACTACTCATTCCCTCCCATCTTAGAGATTCCCTAAGCTTATTGGGTATTTAAAATATGTATGTATGTATTTCCAAGATTCACCAGACTACAGAAAAAAATTCCCATGGACTAGTTAGCAGCCTTTTAAATACTCCCGAAGAGTGAAAAATAGACCATTGAACAGAGAAGAGATTATAGTCAAATTTAGATCCTCTGAAAGAGCAGCATGTTCTCTTAACTACTGAGCCATCGCTGGGATTTTATTGGGGTTTCTATTGTTGTTGCTGGTGTGTGTGTGTGTGTACTTTGTTTTCGTTTTTGTTTAAAACAAGGTCTCTGTGTAGCCCTGGCTACACAGAAATAAGGCAGAAGTATAGACTAAGGTCTTAACGTCTTCCTCCACTATTACATTTCCTCTCCAGACCCCAGAAATAACTAATTATTTGTATTATTTTTCTTATGTTGAAAGTCTTTCCATATAAATCCAGACAGATTTAACTAATCATCTGAATAGCTTTCCCTTAACAGAGACATATAACAGCTTGTCCAAATATTCTTACTCACTTACTTATAGACAAGCCAAGAAAGATACAGAAAACTTATCCAATTAAATCATGTTTATTTTCTTCATTATACAATATCTCACATAGCCAGACTAGTCTTGAACTCACAATGTAGTTAGTCAAGAGGACCTTAAACTTCTGATCCTCCAATAGACTTCTGGGATCACAGTCCTTCACCATACCATTTTATATGGCACTGAGAATCAAACCAGTGCATACTAGACAACCACTCCCCTGTAGACTGATGTTCTTTCTCACCTGGCCCCCTAGCTGTTTAGCCCCAAATAAACACACAGAGATGTTGCTGAAGGTTTGTCTTGTCCCACCAGGTCCCGCCTCTTCAGCCCCAAATAAACACAGAGATGCTATATTAATTATAAAACTGTTGACCAAATGGCCAGGGACTCTTACTGGCTAGCTCTCTCTTAATTATTTAACCAAAACTACTAATCTATGTATTTCCATGTGGTCTTGGCTTACCAGAGACTGTCCAGACCTGTTACTCCTTTGGTTGGCTACACGTCATCTCTTTTGGCAGGCTCTCTCTGCCTACCTTTTCCAGAATTCTCCTCATCTCCTAGTGCCACCTGTCTTCCTGTCTCATTGGCCAAACAATATTTTATTCATCAACCAATAAGAGAAACATATATACAGAAGGACATCTGCCATCATCTCCTCTTTTCTAAGTAAAAAGGAAGGTTTTTAACTTTAACATAGTAAAATTATATATGTCAAAACAGTTATCAACCAAGAACTATAGTTAACAATATCTAGTCCATTAACATTTGGCAAAATTTAAAGATATTTATCCTATCTTTGTGAGTTTTTTTGTAACTTATCTTTTAGTATAACTAAGGAAAACCCATAACCATAACTATCTTCTGTCTTCAACTCCATCAAAGACCTCAGAAGAATAATATATAAACTCAAGAATTGACAGAGACATCTCGCTGCCTGGACAGACACCCAAAGTTTCTCTGTAATGTTGGGGCATCTATCTTCAGCCTATAGCCCTGGGGTGGCTGGCAGACTTCTCAGTGCAGGAGGAAATTTGAAACTTTCACCTGTATTGGCAGTCTGTCATTCATTTTTCCCTGTGTCCTGAAGACTGTCTGGCAGATTCATCATGAAGCAGGAAACCTGTAGCACTGTCCATCTTGTTTTGGAAAA